ACTCGCCTTGGCCTCCCAAAGTGCTGGGATGACAGGCTGAGCCACTGAGCCCGGCCTGAGTTTAGTTTCTGAACCAAGTTCTGTGCTGAGCTGTGGCCTACTGGCAGCCCCATGGCCCTGGGCTCTGGGTCGTGGGCTCCCGAGAGCCACAGGGCCCAGTGGGTGTGATCCGACCGTATGTCCCAGGTATCCCTGGATCAGTATCAGACAGAAGACGAGCTGTACCAGCTGTCCTTGCAGCGAGAGCCACGCTCCAAGTCCTCGGTGAGCGGGGACCCCCTCTGCCCCACCTCAGAATCCCAGCATGTGAGGACGGGACGCTCTTAGTAGCGGCGTCGCCCATCCTTCTTGTGGGACAGCAGCGTCCTGGGGGTGGGGCAGTGACCGCAGGCAGGCTCCCTTCTCTGCTCCCCTGGGCCCGGGGCTCCCTCTTCCCCTCGCCCCAACTCGGGCCTGACCCTCCGCACAGCCCACCAGCCCCACGAGCTGCACCCCGCCTCCCCGGCCCCCGGTGCTGGAGGAATGGACCTCGGCTGCCAAGCCCAAGCTGGACCAGGCCCTCGTGGCGGAGCACATCGAGAAGATGGTGGAGGTGAGCCTCCTCCCGGCTTGGGCGGCAGGGGGGAGGCTGCTGGTGGAGACCAGTAAAGGCCAGACCAGCACTCAGTCGGCAGGAGGCGCGGGGCACAGCATGCTGGGGGGTCAGGTGTCCAGTGTGGAGAGGGAGAGGGAGACCTTTCTGAGACACCTTTTTTTTTTGGAGTCTGAGTCTCTGTTGCCCAGGCTGGAGTGCAGTGGCACGATCTCGACCTTCTGGACTCAGGCGATCCTCCCACCTCAGCCTCCTGAGCAGCAGGGACCAGCTGTGTGGGCCACCACCACGCCCAGCTAATTTTCGGTCTTTTCGTAGAGACAAGGTCTCGCTATGTTGCTCAGGCTGGTCTCGAACTCCTGGGCTCAGGCGATCCTCTCGCCTTGGTCTCCCTCAGTTTTGGCATTACAGGCATGCGCCACTGCGTCCAGCCACCGAGACATGTTTTACCACTTGGCCTGGGAACGTGGGAAGGGACCGGGCCTGATGTTCCTCTTCTTCTCCCCTCCTCCGCCCCTGGGTGTCCCTCTCTGCACCCCAGTCTGTGTTCCGGAACTTTGACGTGGATGGGGATGGCCACATCTCCCAGGAAGAGTTCCAGATCATCCGTGGGAACTTTCCTTACCTCAGCGCCTTCGGGGACCTCGACCAGAACCAGTGAGGAGGGCTGGGGGCTGGGGAAGAGGGAAGGCAGCCCGGCTCGCTTCCCCCTGGGCTTCCGTTTCCTCATTGAACCAGAGGACCTTGGCCTTGGCCGGGAGGCTGACCGGCATGGGGAGCGGATCTTGTTTTTCTGGGGAGGGGAGGCTGCTGGCTGGGGGGGGGCACAGCGTCACCTCACCAGTCCAGACAGATGAGGGACTCCACCTGAGCCCCGCAGACCGCTGTGGCCTGGGGACTCTTGCGGCAGGCGTGGGTTTTGTCTGCAGAGCTCACAGCTGGCAAAAAGTGCAGGCAAGCCGAGCCCCTGGGTGGCCTCTTTTAATGAACAGATAAGAAAGGCTCGTAATTAGCAGCACCCACTTGTTTATCACTGAAGAAGGTTAAACATGCCCCCTGCATCCATGTTTGTGCCCCATTTTCGCTGAGCAGGGAATACTCTAGTCAAAATTCGTAGGCTACCCCAGGTCAATATTCTTTTCTTTTTGAGTTGGAATCTCGCTCTGTCACCCAGGCTGGAGGGCAGTGGCACGCTCCCGGCCACCTCAGCCTCAACCTACTGGGCTCAGGCAGTCCTTCCGCCTCAGCCTTCCAAGTAGCTGGAACTACAGGCGTGTGCCACCATGCCCGGCTGATTTTTTGATTTATTGTAGAGATGAGGTCTTGCTGTGTTGCCCAGGCTGGTTTCGAATTCCTGGACTGAGGCAATCCTCTCGCCTCCGCCCCTGACAGTAAAATAAGTTCATAGCAGACAAAATGTTTAAAATAAGAAGTGAAAGTTCCCTTGTTGCTTTCCCACTGGTGGAAGTGACCATGATTCAGCACCGTTAACAAGACCGTATTCAAGACCAGGCACGGTGGCTCACACCTGTGATCCCAAGCACGTTGGGTGGCAGAGGCGAGGGGGTTGCCTGAGCCCGTGGGTTTGAGACCCACCTGGGCAACTTGGCGAGACCGCATCTCTACAATTAATCAAAAAATGAGCCAGGCGTGGTAGTGCGCGCCTGTAGTTCCAGCTACTTGGAAGGCTGAGGCGGAAGGATCGCTGGAGCCCAGCAGGGCGAGGCTGTGGTGGCCATGAGCATGCCACCGCCCTCCAGCCTGGGCGACAGAATGAGACTCCAACTCAAAACAACAACAACGACAACAAACCGTATTCACAGTTGGGCAGCTTGAGGACCTTCCTGTCTTTTTTTCCTCCATGCATGTGCACACAGATAGAGATTTTTGTTTGTTTTGTGCCTGTTTCACGGACAAACAAGATTATGATATCCAGCTCTGCCTGTGGCTTTTGTTATTGGGGCAGAGGTAGTGGAATTCTGTGTTACCTCTCTGGACTGGTGGGTGGGCTTTTTTGCAGGGCACCCTTTCAGAGAGGGCATGGCCCTTTGAGACCTTGGAGGAAGGGGCTCAACCTTAACACTCCCTCTCCCGCAGGCCCCAGGCCTTGCGTCTGCCCCTGCCCGCCCCCCTGCCCCGACATCAAAACCCAGCATCGCCCACCCAGTGTTTCATTTGGAAGCTCCCTCTTTGTTTCTGAAACTTGGAGGTTTCCATTTCTTTCTTTCTTACAAAATCACCTGTGCAGGCCAGGTGCAGTGGCTCAGGCCTGTCATCCCAGCACTTTGGGAGGCCGAGGTGAGAGGATTGCCTGAGCTCGGGGGGTCTAGACCAGCCCAGGCAACTTGGTGAGACCTGTCTCTGCAATAAATCCAAAAATTAGCCGAGCGTGGTGGTGCATGCCTGCGGTTCCAGCTACTTGGGAGGCTGAGCCAGAAGGATCGCCTGAGCCCAGCAGATCGAGGCTGCGGTAGCATGCTCACTGCTACTGCACTCCAGCCTGGGCGACAGTGAGACTCTAACTAAAAAAAAAAAAGTCACCTATGCATTTACAGCCATTTTTGATATATTTTAAATGAGCATCTAGTTACGTGTAGCAGTGGGTTTTCTTTTTCCTTTTTTTAAAAATCACTGTCGTGTCAGAGTTGTACACCTTGCTTTTTCTTTTTTTTGCTTTTGTGTTCGTTTCCACTTACCCTTTTTTACAGACATCTTTCCTTGTGGATTCGTGCATTTATCACATTCTTTAGAACAGCTGCAGAGTGGCCGGGCTCGGTGGCTCAGCCTGTAATCCCAGCACTTTGGGAGGCCGAGGTGAGTGGATTGTCTGAGCCCGGGGGTTCGAGACCAGCCTGGGCAACTTGGCAAGACCTCGCCTCTACAATAAAAAAAAAAAAAAGAACAGTCGCAGAGTATTCCACTCTGTGGCTGGACCATCATTTTCCTACCCATTCTCCTGCTGATGGACACGTAGACTCATCCTGTTTTTCGCTATTATTATATGCCGCGCTGCTGGGAACATTCTTTTATTGATACACTGAGGCCAGCGTTTCTGTAGGAGGAATTCCTAGAAGTGGGATAATTGGATCAAAAGATATGCACATTCTAAATTAGCAGGAGACTGCCAAACTGACCTCAGACAAGGCTGTACCGGTTTGCACCCCCATCAGCAGAGTAGAAGTGTCTGACTCCCAGATTCCTTGCCAGTCGTGGATGCTATAAAAAGCGTTAGAACTCTGCCAGGCTCATTGGCAAATGGGATCTTGGTGAAATTTGCATTTCTTTAATACTAATGGGGGTAGGGTATCTTTTCACATGTTTATTGGCCACTTGTATTTCTTCTGTTAATCGCCTGTTCACATTCCTTGTCCATTGTTCCGCTGGGTTTGTTGGCCCTTTTCTCGTTGATTTTTAGAATCTCTGTTAACGGATATTAACCCTTTGATGTTAAATGTTGTTTGCAAATATTTTCTCCCTGTCTGTCATTTATGTTGTCTTTTTCCATATAAAATTTAAAAATTTTTGTGTGTTCAGTATGTCAGTCTTTTCCCTTATGGCCTCTCAGATTTGTGTTATGTGTAGAAATGCCCTCGGCCTCTCATGATGACAAAATTATTTTCTTACATCTTTTCAGATACTTTTTACTGGGGTCTCACTCTGTTGCCCAGCTGGAGTGCAGTGGCATGATCACGGCTTACTGCAGCTTCGATCTCCTGGGCGCAGGAGATCCTTCTGCCTCAGCCTCAGTAGCTGAGACTACTGGCACGTGCCACCATGCCTGGTTAATTTTTAATTTTTTTTTTTTTTGAGTTAAGAGTCTCACTCTTGTCACCCAGGCTGGAGTGCAGTGGCACGCTCACAGCCACCGCAGCCTCAACCTGCTGGGCTCGGGTGATCCTTCCGCCTCAACCTTCCAAGTAGCTGGAACTACAGGCGTGCGCCACCACACCTGGCTAACTTTTCTTGGTTTATTGTGGAGATGAGGTCTCGCCAAGTTGCCCAGGCTGGTCTTGAACTCCTAAGCTCATGCAATCCTCTCGCCTCGGCCTGTCAAAGTGCTGGGATCACAGGCGTGAGTCACCTTACCTGGCTATTTTAAAATTTTTTTGTGGAGATGAGGTCTTGCTATGCTGCCCAGGCTGACCTCGAACTCCTGGGCTCAAGCAACCCCCTCGCCTCAGCCTCCCAAAGTGCTGGGGTTAAAGATGTGAGCCACCCTGCCCGGACAGGAATCTAGGTTTATATATTTCTCTGAGTGGCCAGTTGTCCCAGTGCTGCACTGAATTGAAGGACCACCTGCATCACATTATGGACCCCGAATACAGTGGGTGGGCGTTTCAAACAAGGGCCAGCCCTAATGGAGACAGCTCCTGGTGGCTGTAAACTTACTACCTTCACAGACACTGTTCAAGGACTTCAGGTGTATTATCTCATTTAATCCTCACAAAACTCCTATTAGATAAATCATCATGCCCATTTATTTTATAATTATTATTTTTATTATTGTTTTTAGAGATGGGGGGGTCTTGCTATGCTGCCCAGGCTGGTCTTGAGCTCCTGGGCTCAAGTGATCCACCTCGGCCTCCCAAAATGCTGGGATTACGGGTGTGAGCCACCACGCCCAGCCATGCCCATTTATAGATCAGGAAACAGAGGGAAATTGACCAACCACAGGTCACTTGGCAGGGAAGTAGGGCCTGGGATTTGAGCTGAGGTCTATTTCCAGAACAGTCCTCATTCCCTAAAATACAGTCGCAGGCAGAAAAAAGGGTTCTGCGGGAAGCCCTGGGTTAACCAGCGTCCTTCCAGCAGGATTATGCGAGTGACACGGATGCGCTTTTCCCCAGTTCTCCTGGTTCCAGAACACACTAGAAAACCCTTCTCAGGGCCCCGGGACTGGTGTTGCTCAGAGCACACTTTGGGAACGTGAGGCTGGCGAGCTCTCGGGAAAGCGCGCACCAGCCGCGAAGCGGGCGGCGCAGGGACGTGGTCCCCGTTGTCCTGAGAAGGAAACCCAGGAACAGCGACTTGCCCACGACCACACGCTAGTTAGTGGCGGTTATGACGTCTGCCTGACTCCTAGTCCAGTGCTCTTTCTCTTGCCTGCACCGGGGGTCCCGCACCAGGAGTTCCGGGGTGGCTTTTCGTTTGGGAGGGGGGTTCCCCAGTGGGACGGCTTAGGCCAGGGGTGGGGAGGACCCGAGCTGAGGCGCCCCCCAACCCCCGCAGGGA